TGATAGTGGGTTTGACATCCGACAATGGGCTAGCAATGATCCAGCCGTGATACACCATCTCCCACCAGATGCTAAGTCCAAAACCAGTGATTGTGGATTTCAGGAAATGGAGACCCCCAAAGAGCTGACATTAGGCCTCCAATGGAACTGCTTCACAGACATGCTGGGTTACAAGAACCGATCCATCATCTACCATCAACCTACAATGAGGAATATTTACAAAGTTCTGGCAAGCCAATATGATCCTCTGGGATATCTGACCCCTTTCACAACCTGTGCAAAGATCCTAGTACAGGATCTCTGGAAGAAGGAAAAAGTTTTCATCAAAACAGACAGCACAGCTTGTTGAAGAAATGGCAAACATGGGAGTTGGAATTGCAAAATCTCCCTGACATCCATTTTCCTCTTCCTTTCCACTGTTATTTACCCCCCTGTGCCAGCCACCTCAAAATCCCATATGCATGTATTTTGTAATGTCTCTGAGCACGTTTGTGGTGCTGTTGCCTACCTTCAAACTAAAGACAAACACAACCACACTCATGTCAGCTTCATCATGGCAAGGGCTTGTATAGCCCCCAAATGCCAGCTATCTATCCGTCGCCTTGAACTATGTGCAGCATTATCCAGTGCCCAGCTGGCTAATCTCCTCAGTGACTAGACTACAGTCTGTAACCCTTTGGACAACTTCTACAACAGTCCTATCATGGCTAACATCTGACTTCTGTTGCTACAAAGTGTTTGTTGGTACAAGAATTGCTGAGATTCAGACTTTGACTGACACAAAGAGCTGGAGATGTGTTGACTCAAAAAACAATGCAGCTAATGACATAACACGGGGCAAAACCCTCCTAGAGCTTTCTCAGCAGCACAGGTGGAATCAAGGCCCTCCATTCCTTATGCTGAACACAGACAGCTGGCCAGCCAACCCATGTGTGTCAGCTGAATGGGAGCCTGTTGAGGAACTCAGGAAATCCATGTTCTGTGGTGCAGTGATGTAATATGACACCGACCTCCCTGATCCAAACAAATACAACAGCTGGGATGATCTAATATAAGAAACAAAAAATGTGCTTTATGGGACGGCAGATCAGAGATCAAATGTAGCCAAATGCTACATAAACTCAGAAAGGCATCTTCTTCAAAGGGTCCAATCAAAGTGCTTCATGAGGAATTCACTGCCCTCAAATCAGATAAGGCCATACCAAAAGGTAGAAAACTACTCCCGCTGTCTCCTGAATATGATCATGATCTTGGTCTCATCAGAGTGGGAGGTCGACTTCGAAGAGCAGAGACACTTGACCATGACAGTGTCTATCCAATTATATTAGATCCAAGACATCCCATAACCAAACTCATTATCAAGCATTATGATGACAAAATGCTCCATCCAGGACCTGAACGTGTTCTAGGTGAAATGAGACGCAGTTATTGGATCCTGCGTGGCCGTCAAGCCATTCGCAAACATCAGCACTGGTGTCAAGACTGTCAAAAATGGAGAGCTAGCCCAGTCATCCCCAAAATGGCAGACCTTGCTCCAGCCCGTCTTAGACTGCTTAAACCCCCATTCTGGTCCACTGGCATTGACTGTTTTGGGCGTTTCATGGTGAAAGTTTGCCGCCACACAGAGAAAAGGTGGGGAATTCTCTTTAAATGCTTAACAACATGCTGCATACATCTTGAGCTGCTTGACAGTATGGATGCAGACACATTCCTTATGGTCTTCAGAAGAACTCCTGTCTGACTGTGGGACTAATTTCAGAGCAGGAGAGTCATGCAAAACGCATTCTAGTCCATGGCACCAGACCTGAGGCAGCAATTGGCCAAAACACAAGTAAACTCCAAGTTCAATCCTCCATCTGCACCACATTTCGGTAGAAGCTGGGAGCGAGAGATAAAATCAGTAAAAATGGCCCTCAATATTGCATTAGGAAACCAACCAACAACAGAAACTGTTATTCACACAGTCCTCATAGAAGTTGAAGGCATTCTCAGTTCAAAACCTCTTGGATATACACTCACCTAAAGGATTATTAGGAACACCTGTTCAATTTCTCATGAATGCAATTATCTAATCAACCAATCACATGGCAGTTGCTTCAATGCATTTAGGGGTGTGGTCCTGGTCAAGACAATCTCCTGAACTCCAAACTGAATGTCAGAATGGGAAAGAAAGGTGATTTAAGCAATTCTGAGCGTGGCATGGTTGTTGGTGCCAGACGGGCCGGTCTGAGTATTTCACAATCTGCTCAGTTACTGGGATTTTCACGCACAACCATTTCTAGGGTTTACAAAGAATGGTGTGAAAAGGGAAAAACATCCAGTATGCGGCAGTCCTGTGGGCGAAAATGCCTTGTTGATGCTAGAGGTCAGAGGAGAATGGGCCGACTGATTCAAGCTGATAGAAGAGCAACTTTGACAGAAATAACCACTCGTTACAACCGAGGTATGCAGCAAAGCATTTGTGAAGCCACAACATGCAACCTTGAGGCGGATGGGCTACAACAGCAGAAGACCCCACCGGATACCACTCATCTCCACTACAAATAGGAAAAAGAGGCTACAATTTGCAAGAGCTCACCAAAATTGGACAGTTGAAGACTGGAAAAATGTTGCCTGGTCTGATGAGTCTCGATTTCTGTTGAGACATTCAGATGGTAGAGTCAGAATTTGGCGTAAACAGAATGAGAACATGGATCCATCATGCCTTGTTACCACTGTGCAGGCTGGTGGTGGTGGTGTAATGGTGTGGGGGATGTTTTCTTGGCACACTTTAGGCCCCTTAGTGCCAATTGGGCATCGTTTAAATGCCGCGGCCTACCCGAGCATTGTTTCTGACCATGTCCATCCCTTTATGGCCACCATGTACCCATCCTCTGATGGCTACTTCCAGCAGGATAATGCACCATGTCACAAAGCTCCAATCATTTCAAATTGGTTTCTTGAACATGACAATGAGTTCACTGTACTAAAATGGCCCCCACAGTCACCAGATCTCAACCCAATAGAGCATCTTTGGGATGTGGTGGAACGGGAGCTTCGTGCCCTGGATGTGCATCCCACAAATCTCCATCAACTGCAAGATGCTATCCATCAATATGGGCCAACATTTCTAAAGAATGCTTTCAGCAGCTTGTTGAATCAATACCACGTAGAATTAAGGCAGTTCTGAAGGCGAAAGGGGGTCAAACACAGTATTAATATGGTGTTCCTAATAATCCTTTAGGTGAGTGTATCTCCACTGACCAGATCCGGTTACACCAAACATGTTGCTGATGGGGCGGCCTGATTCCTCTCTTCCTCAGGCGATCTACTGTGCAAGTGACATCCTGGGTAGGGGAAAATGGCGTCACAGCCAGATCTTAGCCAACCATTTTTGGACAGCCTTCCAAACCTTCAAACGAGGAAAAAATGGGAGACCGACAAGGAGAATCTGGATTTAGGTCAGGTTATAATGATAGTTGACTCTCAGTATCCTCGAGCATCATGGCCTATTGGAAGGATAGCTGAAACCTTCCCCCGGAAAGGATGGAAAGGTCCGTAGTGTAAAGGTCATTATTCAAGGTCGAGAATACATATGCCCTGTTTCCAGATTAATCCCACTTCCTGAAATCAGTGAAGGCAGCTGAAATGTATTTGCTGCACAAATCCGGGGGCGGCTGTTACAAACTGCAAGTGCTTTACCCTCCACACCACAAGGAGACACCAACTGGTGGTTCAGTACCTGTGAGTACCTCCCACATTATAAATAGAGAGTTGGGCTGGACAGGACTACCGTTTTCTTTGTCTAAAAACATTTTGCCTTTTGGAAGAGCATGTAGATGTTTGCCGTGTGTGTTTAGATGAACCTTCACTGTAAGTAGCAGTTTCTTTATATAAACTGTTATGTTTAATATAATGTATAAAATATTTTGACTTATGTTGGTCTAATCTTTTGCATATTTCTAATACCTTAATGACCAAATGTTTAATATGATTTCAAGACTAAATATATGACTTATTTTGGACATATGTTAACTTGTATCTTTGTTACTTAGAACCATGGCAACCGTCACAAGATCTGACATGAAAGGATTGAAACTATGCTCTGGATGAATACACAGGCATCATCCAGTCTGTCCTCTGCACCTCGATCACTGTCTGGTTTGGATCTGCCATCAAAAAGGACAGGAGCAGACTACAACGGACAGTCAGGACTGCAGAAAAAATAATCGGTGCCAACCTGCCCTCCATTCAGGACTTAGACATTTCCAGAGTCAGGAAACGGGCAGGAAACATCACTGCAGATCCATCTCACCCCGGACACAACCTGTTCCAGCTCGTCCCCTCTGTTAGGCGCTACAGAGCACTGTACGCCAAAAACCAACAAACTCAGGAACAGTTTCTTCCTACAAGACATCACTCTGATGAACAGCTGATTTCTGACTCACAGTGTCAGGAACAATTCCTGTGGAATAACCCAGTAACTCTGTCTCTAATCAGCCACCTGTTTACTGGTTACCACTTATTATTTATTTATTCACCATTCTCTATTTCAGTGCTGTTTATACTATGTCACATTGTATATACTGTACATGTGTACATGTATGTGTACCTGTATATCATATCCACCTTCAACATGTACATAATGAGAATAATAGTTTACTCCTGCATCCTTTGCACTCTGATTACTGCACTATTTGTCAATATGTCTATATTGTTTTGTTCATAGTGTGTATATTAGTGTTGTCTATACTGTGTCTGATTTTATTTTATTATTATTTTATTATTGTGTTATGGTATTTTTGTATAAGCACATCATGAGCAATGTACAATCCTGAGTCAAATTCCTCGTATGTGTACACATACCTGGCAATAAAGCTGATTCTGATTCTGAATAAAGAGACAATTAATGGCAATTCTTGTTTCCTGGTGGTTTGTGGCTCCAGTTAGAACCTTATATCCATAACACTGCTCTTTCAGCAGTTTCCATGAAAACAGTAATGTGCTCTCTGTCTCTACAGGCGGCCTGGAGGGTTTACGCCACAAACCTGAGCCGAACTGATCTAACTTCAACCTGGGATTATTACGAGAGGACCGTCTCTGTCCCCATGTACAGGTGAGACTCCACCTGTCTCACTACAGACAACCATTACGTTCTCTAAATATTTTATAATATTATTATATAATTTTTTGCTGTTTTTTATATTATTATTATAAGAACATTCATTCTGTCTGTGTGTGTCTCCAGGCTGATTCCGCCTCTCAATCAGTTGGACTTATTGAGGAACCTCAAGAACAAATCAGGACTCTCATTCAGGTCTGAAATGTTTGACACAGGAACGTCCACAAACTACTACAGTTAATACTAATACAAGTAATAGTATTGTTTGTGATGACCTGAAGAATGGCTGACATTATCAAATGTTTAAATGTCCAATATTCTGCTCACTTTTAGTCTTAAGACCCACTGGGGACACACGTTTAGTCTTTAGACCCACCGGGGACACACGTTTATTATTTAGACCCACTGGGCAAACACATTTATTCTTTAGACCCATCGGGGACACACAAAGGTTATTTTTAAGTCAATAATTAATAATAAGAACTGTCTGTCTGCAGGAAGGAGGTCCAGCCTGAACCATCTCCCAGGTCAGTGTCCTTCGTACTGCATAAAATCTTAATCACCTGCTGGATTATTGATCAGCTTTTGGCAGTCAGAGTTTGTGCAGTTCTGAGATCAGATTTCTTACATGGTGACAAAAGATGTTAAAAACTGTAGTCAGTTGATTTTACATGTTGTGGTTAAACTGAATAAACTTTATTGGAATTGTCCCTGGACAATCTCCACACGTGGTCGTGGAGGGAATTCACATGGCAGAGCGTCCCTGCAAAACTAGATGAAGGCCTGTCAGGTAAAGTTATGTATAATTTTAACTTAAGTTAAATAGGCTACAGCTGTGTAGCGCACAGAAGCCGTTGCCATGGTTACTCTCCCTAGAGCGCCTGCCGTTTACTGGCGAAGCACTTGTCTTCCTTCTCCCTCCGCTGCTCGTTTGGGTGGCTGATTTGCAGGCTGTTCAACATCCCCCCCCTCCTGTGACCCATGCTTTGACTGGATGTGTATTCAGAGCCAGTGAGCACCGGACTTTCAGAAAAATATTATTAATAAAAGCTGTGTTAATGTGAGATAAAATAATTGTAGACATTAATTAATGCGTTAACGTAATAATAACTCATTGTGCCCAGCCCTAGTATATATCCTTTGTGACATTTTGTGGGTCTAAACTCGCACTTTATCACAAAACTGAAGTATCGCATATGTCAGGAGAGAGACCTGACTGTCTCCAAAAACACACCCATAAGTCAACCTGTCACAATCTGAAGTCTTCATTTTTAGATTGAAGAGATATAGACTGTAGACTGAATGTGTTGACGTGAAACCCACACATCTTGACGCATTTCTTACCACTGGGATTCACCCCTGGGTTAGCTGTAGGAGGGAAACTAAATCCAACTTTACGACAGGATGAGGAGCACCTGAACACATCATCAGTTAGGGTCTCTTCAGATTGTCTCATTTGTGGATATCTGAGCTCTTCACCATGTCTCTAAGGCTGAAGTCAATGAAATCATTTCAACTGTTTAGATCCATCATCTAATTCCTTCAGTCACTACCCAGAGACCAGGACCAGGGCTGAGGACCGGTACAGAGATCCACCGGTGAATCCAGAGTTCACCTTCAGGATCAGCTCCCTCTGATACACCACAATTTGGTGCAACTACTGCTTCAGTACTGATGAGCACCAATCCACCTATAGATCTCATGATTTGTGAACCTCCTTGGAGGAGACACAATTCACCTCACCAGTCAGCTGACTACAGCGCTCGTCATCGGGGATTCCATTGTGAGGCAGGTCAAAACGCAATCCTCCAAAACTTTGCCTTTCCACAGCGCCACTATCACGACATCTCTGCCAAGATCATCTTCATCTCTGGACCAGTTCCCTCACTCTGTCGTGTATCAGACAATTTTCTGGGCTCCTGAACAATCAGTGTCCACCTAACTTCCTGCTGCGCAAGAGCAATCGGCGTGCACCTGTTCACCTGCTGCCCATGAGCAGTCGGCGTGCACCTGTTCACCTGGACTCAACATCAAGTGACTGTCAGGTACGCTCTTCACTAGGCGTCATAGCACTACTAGCTCCCCCTGCAATAATGACAACCTCAGCTCTTCTATAATTCCTGTCATCATCACAAACAGACAGAACATCAGACGAAAACATGGGATGAATTTTAATAACCTCAGACCTCCATATACACAGATGTTATTTTATTAAAAATTATTTAACTAGGAAAGGCTCCTAGAGCATCCTGGCAGGTGCAAGATATTACATAAAAGTTGCAAGAATACAATCCAACAATAAAGATATATAAAAAAACAAGAACAACTTTACTCACAATAACTGACACCGCTGAAATTACCAACAATGACACATAGTGTAATCAGCCTCAAAGTCCTTCATCAGGGATTTAAAATTGCCAAGAGACACGAGTTCTTTCAATTTAACACTTTTTTGAAGGGAGGTCCCTGCTGATGGGGCAGAGTACGTAAAAGCTCTTTCAAAATCCGTTTTGTCATTTGGGAACAAAATTAAGTCCTGTGAACAGAGACCGTACCGAAAACATTTTTATGATAAAACAGCAAAAGTAAGAAAAAGTAAATAAAAGTATACCAGTGACCGAATCTACGGTTTGCTAGGTGAGGCCATCCAACCTGGCATGTAAAGTGCAGTGGTGTAGTGTGCAGTGTGTAAGAGCTTGGCATTTAAAGATACATTTCAGTGGTCCATGCTAAAGGGTGTCAATAGATCTCAAACAGTGAGCAGAGACATTCATATATAAAATACTGCCATAATCTAGTATAGGCAGAAAAGTTGCTGAAATACGTTTCCATCTGGCTTTAAAAGAGAAACGAGACTTATTCCTAAAATAAAATCCCAACTTTAGCTTGGGATTTTTAGCAAGTTTCAGTATATGCAATTTAAAGGAGAGGTCATCATCAATTGTAATTCCAAGATATTTACATGAAGTTACTGCCTCAATCATATTTACCTGTTAAGTAGTGTTACATGGGAGATTTAGAGGTCTATTTTAGCAATAATGTGTGTTGAACTGCAGTAAAAGCAGTCTGCAAATTGTGAAAGGCTTTTGCTAATGTGGAGTCACTGCAATAAATAATAGTGTCGTCTACATAAAAGTGGCATTGGACATTTTGTACATATTTATGTAGATTATTTATATTAATAGTGAATAAAAGAGGGCCAAGTACTGATCCCCAGGGGACACCGTTTGTTATCAGGCAATATATCAGATACGAGCCCATTACTTTGTGTGAGTTCTATTTAACAGATGGTGAGCAATCCATGAAACAGCATGCTGAGAAAGACCTATGCTACACAGCCTCTGTTTCAGTATAGTATGATCTACTGTATCAAACGCCTTAGAAAGATCAATAAAAAGTGAAACACAGTGTTAGATATAGATAAAATAGAATTAGTGTGTAAAATCTGCTTTAGCTGTTCATTTACGAGGGTTACGGGAAGTATTTTAGCCAGGGGAGACAGCTTGGAGATTGGCCTACAGCTGTTTACAAGAGAGGGATCTCCCCCCTTAAACAACGATAGAACAAAAGCAGGTATTTCATTACATTCCAGGGTTAGATTGAACAAGTACATAAGTGGTTTGGCTATGAAATCACACAAAATATAACACCATAAAACATTTCCATCTGACAAAATCTGTCGTTGAAACTCCACAAAAATTGTCAATTGTAATTTCTCAACAGAAACAATTTTTAATACACTGTGAATGCTTTTGTCAATATCCTGATTATGTTTTCAGTTTTTCTAAAGGGTTAGATTAGTTCTGGGAGTGTTTTCAGTATATAAAACTCTCAAATGCACATAAAGGAACACTCTGCAATCCTTGTATCTAAGGGAGCTGACTGGACTTCATGTTCATACATTCTGAATTTCCTGGTGTTCAGTCTGTTGGCCGTGGTACATTTACACTTTGAGCATCGGCTCAGTGGAAAACATGGGCGCTGGATACTCACAAGAGAACTATGACATGTTTACTGTTGATTATTATCAAACTGCTTTACAACACCAATGCCTCTTACCAGATATAGGCATAGATGGGTCTCTACCGAAATACTCTGGTACCAACTATAATGCTCTGCTGATGAGCTGGTCACCACAGTGCTAGGCTACATCGATGGGTTGGGATCTAGTTTGGCTGTGCTGAAATCAGTCCCAAATACTGTTGGACTTGGAGCATTGGTGATTTCCATGATCATGGAGATGTGCATCACGAGCACCACTCAAATAAATGATAATTCATACAGCATGCATCAACATCTATTTGGTGAAGAGAAAGCCTCAGCTGTCCGGGACACAGTGTCAAAGTATCTGAGGCGCCATCAGATGTTCATGAACAATGATGGACGAATACGGGAGGAAACGGAGACTAGAAGCACAGCTGAACGAAGGGCTAACCATCCTCAGAAACTCCCTGCTGCATGACAGAAAATCTGTGTCAATGGAGCCTTCTTCCACCTCCAGATGTTGATCCATGAGGCTCGACTGGATATTCAGACTGGCAAACCTGCATCAGACTACCAGACTTCGATCAAAGCTGCCATCAGATTGTATTTCCTGGATAATTTATTGGAGAAATACAAGACTTACAAGACCAGTACTACTGTTATTGAATCAGAATGTTATCCTAATAGCTTTTCCTGTTCACCTCAATGTTTAGTTAAAAATTTTGAGATAAATGTATTAGTCAAGTAGAGCGGCATGGATGGGCATATTCGTACCCCTGTAGAGGTTCTGACTTAAATAAGGCTCAAAATATAAACCAGTGTTAGGCTTCAAGAGTCATTTTTCAAATATGAAGAGCAACCTCACATCTCTAATCAACCAACATGATGAAATGTGGTGCTCTTAGGTGTTAATGGACTGCACTGCCAGACTCAGCAACAACCACATCATAAAGTTCGCAGACGACACAACATTGGTGGGACTCATCAGGGATAATAATGAGTCGGCATATAGGAGGGAGGTGGAGATGCTTACAGAATGAGCCAAATCACAGAAGCTAATCCTCAACGTTGACAAGACTAAGGAGATGGTGATTGATTTTAGGAGGGCTAGCAAATACCACCACACACCGCTGTATATTGACACAGCTGCTGTGGAGAGGGTAGGCAGCCTTAAGTTCCTGGGAGTACACTTAGCCAACAACCTGACCTGGACTATCAAAAGAGCACAGCAGCGGCTTCACCCCCTTCGGAGACTCAGGAAATCATGTCTCCTGTCTGTACACCTCCCAACTTTTTACCATCCTGACCTATGGTCTCACTTCTTGGTTTGGAAGCTGTACGGCCCATGAAAAAGAACAACTAAACAGGGTCGTGAAGACAGCCAGCAAGATCATTGGCACTCCACTCCCCTACCTAAGTGAGATCTACCAGCAACGCTGCATTTACAGAGCCATCTCCATCATTAAGGACTTAAATCACCCGTCTCATCACATCTTCTCCCTCCTGCCGTCTGGGAGGAGGTACAGAAGCATCAGCTGCAGATCAAGCAGGATGCTGAACAGTTTTTTCCCATAAGCCGCGAGAATCACAAACGGACTGTTTACACTCCCCATCCCGATCACATATCCCCCACAATGCACACACGCACACTTACAGCCCCGTCACCTAGACAGTAAAGGTGAAACTTTAAAATTCAACAAAAGGACTACTGTATGAAACATTGTTGTGAGCTTGGCTGCTTAGTGTGTATTGAATTGTACTGATTGTTGTTTGTGTTGTTTTTTTTTTATCTCTATTTTTAGGAATGTGTTTTTAGGTTATATTTTAACTGGGTTATGTATTTCTTATTGTCCTTTTAAATGCACTACAAAAGTAGCTGATGAGAAACAACTTTTAGTTTTTCTGCGTATGGAAATACCAGGTGAAATAACAATAAAGCCGATCGACCGACCGACCGACCGAGATCCAGACTGCTGCCATCTTGTGTTATATGTTTTCACTTACATGACCCAGCAGGGCGTCTCTTGAGCTATTACAAAGCCTCACAAACACTGACTCTCACACTGTGCTGTCTCTGAGAAAACTGGAAAGTTTAATTATGTCAACAACTTTGTGGGTTGTTGTTGTAAATTACTTCTTTAACTGACCCACCAGCATCTTCCAGCAAATGCTCTAAACTTTTGTCATTGAAATGCGACCATTTAAGTTCTGTATTGCTGTGGGTGTATGTCGGTAGTTCTGCTTGTTTTGGTGTTTAAACATCATCATTTCTTTTCAGTTTTCCCCAACTGTCATGTACTGTATAAAATCTTAACTTTTGTGATTCATGTAAATTATTTGTTTTTTGTTTTTATTTTGACTTTGATCCCAAAACATTTAAGGTCCAATTAAACCTGTCTCTGTGTCTTGTCCCTGCAGTCAGAAGGTCAGTCTAAAGGAGAGGGTCTTCTCGTCTCCTCGGAGCTCAGGAACCAAAGGAAAAGGTTCTCCTCAGCATGGTGGGTGTTTCTATGCTTTGAAATGATCCAGTTGTTGAACAGTCAGGTTCTTGTTTAAGTTTCCTGTGGTGTGGGCATGTGGATAAGACAGAGATGGGGACTCGAGTTAGAGACTCGGACTCGAGTCCGACTTCAGTCGCACACACAGCGACTTCAGACTCGACTTGAGACTCGTCCTCAAAAGACTTCAGACTCGACTCGGACTCGAGGTGCGGGACTCGTGAACAATGTTTATTTTTAGGACACTTCTGATGAGCTTGCCGTTATTCCCTACCTCCATTACCTATAACCTGCCTACGCAACACGTAGCATCTGCTGCGCGGCCGCACGTGAGAGAGGACAACAAACAGCGGCAGCTGCGGTGCCATTTATCATAAACTTTGGATTTAAAACTTCATACAACAAGACCCAAACAAAGAAACGCTGAACGCAAATATGTGGTGAGTAAACATGTTTAGCTCAGCATTGGCCATCTAACGTTAGCTTGCTTCTTCCTTCAGCTACGATCTACGGGAGGTTAACTCCGACTTTCGTTCGTTATGAAAAGATGAATGAGTGTTTGTTTACTAGCCAAACTTGTGGTGGTCGGTTAACGTAATCATTTACTTCCCGCTGGCTGCCATCACGTTAATTATTACTGTTGGCTGGAAAGAGGTTACAGGTTTATTGTTGATCATGTAACCATACAGTTTTATTTAGTTATAGCCTAACATTACACTGGTTTGAGAGTCTGCAGGGTGCGCTGACTTACAGTAGTTTAAGCTGTCATTGATTATATTGCACATTATGGTTGTGCTCTGTAAGTTAAAAACATGTTACAGCTTTATTGTTGACCATGTAACTTTACAGTATTATTTAGTTAACTTTACACTGGGTTTGAAACTCAACAGGGTTTGTTGACTTATAGTAGTTTATAAGCTTATAATAAGTCATTAATTGTAGACGCATTACACATTAGGCTACATGGTTGTGTTCTGTAAGTTAAAAACAGACAGATTTATTGTTGATTATGCAATGTCACAGTTTTATTGACTTACAGTATTTAATAAGCTGTCAATAATTGCATTGCACATCACATGGTTGTGCTCTGTAAATGAAAAACAGGTTAACAGTATTCCTTATAGCTATGAAGTTTTATTAGCAACCTGGATTGAACGCAGCAGGTGATACAACATTCGTAATAACCACGAGAGACTTGAGACTTGACTTGGACTCTTGCTCAGAAACTTGACTTGGACTCTAGCTCAGAGACTTGAGACATGAATTGGACTCTAGCTCAGAGACTTGAGACTTGACTTGGACTCCAGCTCAAAGACTTGAGACTTGACTTGGACTCCAGCTCAAAGACTTGATACATGACTTGGACTCTAGCTCAGAGACTTGAGATTTGACTTGGACTCTAGCTCAAAGACTTGAGACTTGACTTGGACTCTAGCTCAGAGACTTGAGACTTGACTTGGACTCTAGCTCAAAGACTTGAGACTTGACTTGGACTCTAGCTCAGAGACTTGAGACTTGAGTTGGACTCCAGCTCAAAGACTTGAGACATGTCTTGGACTCTAGCTCAGAGACTTGAGATTTGACTTGGACTCTAGCTCAGAGACTTGAGATTTGACTTGGACTCTAGCTCAAAGACTTGAGACTTGACTTGGACTCTTGCTCAGAGACTTGAGACTTGACTTGGACTCTTGCTCAAAGACTTGAGACTTGACTTGGACTCTTGCTCAGAGACTTGAGACTTGACTTGGACTCTAGCTCAAAGACTTGAGACTTGAGTTGGACTCTTGCTCAGAGACTTGAGACATGACTTGGACTCTAGCTCAGAGACTTGAGACTTGACTTGGACTCTAGCTCAGAGACTTGAGACTTGACTTGGACTCCAGCTCAAAGACTTGAGACATGACTTGGACTCTTGCTCAGAAACTTGACTTGGACTCTAGCTCAGAGACTTGAGACTTGACTTGGACTCCAGCTCAAAGACTTGAGACTTGACTTGGACTCTAGCTCAGAGACTTGAGACTTGACTTGGACTCCAGCTCAAAGACTTGAGACTTGACTTGGACTCTAGCTCAGAGACTTGAGACTTGACTTGGACTCCAGCTCAAAGACTTGAGACATGACTTGGACTCTAGCTCAGAGACTTGAGAATTGACATGGACGCTAGCTCAAAGACTTGAGACTTGACTTGGACTCTAGCTCAGAGACTTGAGACTTGAGTTGGACTCTAGCTCAAAGACTTGAGACTTGACTTGGACTCTAGCTCAAAGACTTGAGACTTGACTTGGTCTCTAGCTCAGAGACTTGAGACTTGACTTGGACTCCAGCTCAGAGACTTGAGACTTGACTTGGACTCCAGCTCAGAGACTTGAGACTTGACTTGGACTCTTGCTCAAAGACTTGACTTGGACTCTAGCTCAGAGACTTGAGACTTGACTTGGACTCCAGCTCAGAGACTTGAGACTTGACTTGGACTCCAGCTCAGAGACTTGAGACTTGACTTGGACTCTTGCTCAAAGACTTGACTTGGACTCCAGCTCAGAGACTTGAGACATGACTTGGACTCTAGCTCAGAGACTTGAGACTTGACTTGGACTCTAGCTCAGAGACTTGAGATTTGACTTGGACTCCAGCTCAAAGACTTGAGACATGACTTGGACTCTAGCTCAGAAACTTGACTTGGACTCTAGCTCAGAGACTTGAGACTTGACTTGGACTCTAGCTCAAAGAATTGAGACTTGACTTGGACTCTAGCTCAGAGACTTGAGACTTGACTTGGACTCCAGCTCAAAGACTTGAGACATGACTTGGACTCTAGCTAAGAGACTTGAGATTTGACTTGGACGCTAGCTCAAAGACTTGAGACTTGACTTGGACTCTTGCTCAGAGACTTGAGACATGACTTGGACTCTAGCTCAGAGACTTGAGACATGACTTGGACTCCAGCTCAGAGACTTGAGACTTGACTTGGTCTCTAGCTCAGAGACTTGAGACTTGACTTGGACTCCAGCTCAAAGACTTGAGACATGACTTGGACTCCAGCTCAGAAACTTGACTTGGACTCTAGCTCAGAGACTTGAGACTTGACTTGGACTCTAGCTCAGAGACTTGAGACATGACTTGGACTCCAGCTCAGAGACTTGAGACTTGACTTGGTCTCTAGCTCAGAGACTTGAGACTTGACTTGGACTCCAGCTCAAAGACTTGAGACATGACATGGACTCCAGCTCAGAAACTTGACTTGGTCTCTAGCTCAGAGACTTGAGACTTGACTTGGACTCTAGCTCAAAGACTTGAGACTTGACTTGGACTCTAGCTCAAAGACTTGAGTTGGACTCTTGCTCAGAGACTTGAGACTTGACTTGGACTCTAGCTCAGAGACTTGAGACTTGACTTGGACTCTAGCTCAGAGACTTGAGACTTGACTTGGACTCTTGCTCAGAGACTTGAGACTTGAGTTGGACTCTAGCTCAAAGACTTGAGACTTGAGTTGGACTCTTGCTCAGAGACTTGAGACATGACTTGGACTCTAGCTCAAAGACTTGAGACTTGAGTTGGACTCTTGCTCAGAGACTTGAGACTTGACTTGGACTCTAGCTCAGAGACTTGAGACTTGACTCCAGCTCAATATTATTGTTTTTTGGAGAAAATAGTGAGTTGTTTTTGCCGTAACTTCCAAAAGCTCTAGAGAAGTAAAGGCAGAATCCGTAATATCAGTAACGGTTCTTTGTCTTTGTATTGATGCGCTCTGGAGCGCAACCATAGCTGTTTTTAAGAATGGCCTATTTCTCTTGGGGTGTTGGTGGAGATGGCTTTGACACGCAGACGCCAAGATCAAGGTAAATATGATTATGATAACAAGATAGACTGATGAATTACTTGTTAGCTAGCACAAGCTAGCAGTAGCAGACAAACCTCACTGCTCCCATATGCGATCAGAATGCAAACAAAGCATTGGAAACAAATGATAAGTAGATGGTTTGGCAGCTTAGTAGCTTAAGTTAATCACACATGAACACACACACAAGCTCAGTAGTGAAAATTCAACATTAAATAAAGGGCCTACCTTCTCATGTAGGCTAACCAGGTAAAAATCCATTGCAAACAACGTCCTCTGAGAAGTTAAATCCACAGCATGAATTTTGAGCATTAGCTTCCCGCTTGCGATTCAACACATTGAATCCTTAACATGAGTTGTTCTTGTGTATCCTACTCTGGCATTCATCCAAAGAATGTGACCACCAAAAACTGAAGTAAGAAATATATATTAAAATATTTATAAATAATATTGACATGATAGCAAAATCTGATTCACAAATCATATTATTTCATAATAATGATTAACAGTCAATCCTGATTAATTGTAATGTGCATTAAAACTGAGCCATAATCTAAAAGTTGCATTTGAATAAAAAGTCACAAAACAGTAAGATTAAGAACGGGGGGTGCAGGTTAATTAATGTATATTACTATCTACTGCACATTCTGCTATATATGTATTTATGTGTATCTTACATAGGCCTTTTCAATATTAATTTGCTATTCATATCTTTAATTATTTAATGTATTCATTTCAGTTTCTTGTGAGGATAAAATACAGCCAATTTGCCTCCTGCAGAACAACTTGAACTGAAAAAGTGGAAAATTCTGGACAATTCTGATGCTATCAGTTTTCCTGATGATGAGCTGTTTTACGGAACAGATTATCTGCTCATCACCAGCACACCTGAATCCACTTTTTCTCCAGCCCCTGAAAAGCCCGACCTTCCCCTGAATGCACTAGAGCCTGCCCTTTCTCCAGTCACATCAGACTCCTCACTTGCTCCAGCCCCAGAATACCTAAACCTTACTCCAATTACTGCACCAGAGACCACCCTTTCTCAAGCCACAGCACCAGACCCCACTATTCCTCCAGTCACACCAGGTTCCACACTTGCTCCAGCCCCAGAAGATCTCACCCTCGTTCCACTTGCTGTACCAGAGCCCGCGCATAAACCACCAATTAGAGAACCATGTGGCCACAAATGCAGGAGAAAATGCTCTGAGGACAGAAGGAGAGAAAGCTGGTGTTGAAAGACGGGCTGAAAGAAACAGGTCCCACAGCAGGTGTGCAAAGGTTTCTTCCTTTCAACTTTGGGGTATCACCCAACTAATGACAGCCTGGTCCTCTCAGTGATGGGCAAAGAAATGACCACTCCTATTGCTCCACCGAAAGATCAGAGAGGGAGACATGCACTAGCCAACAAGCTACCTGAAGCCATTTCATGATCACATTGAGTCCTTCCATCCAACTGTCAGCCACTACCGGAGGGAGCATGCTCCACGCCGCCGCTATCTCCCAGCGACATTAGTGTCACACTTATGTATGCTGACTATCTGGAAAAAGGCAACCACTGCTCCACGAGACTTACCAGAAAGCTGGAAAGGCTAACAATATTAGCTTTTGTCGGGTCGGAAATAAGGACCGGCCGGGCCAGTAAAAGACCTGGTCCCTACCCTAACCAACGTAATAAACTCAATAAAATTACTCTATTAGATTTCTTCTTTAGTCAAAAAACTGCGTAGTCAAAAACTTCACTGGAGACGGTCAAGAGTCGGTGCAAAAGAGTTTATTCCAATAAAGGACAGATAAACCCGAGCAACATCCCTGCAGGTCTCAGGATGGAACCGAGTTGGTGGTCAGCGAACATCGCCTTATATTCACCTTAAGCTCCACCTTGTCCCTCCCTTCAGGTGGGCGTTACATCTTAACTCCTCCTTATCTCCTCCTTCTAGGTGGGCGTTACTCCTTAACTCCACCTATGGTGTTCGCTGACCATTCCTCCCCTTTGGTGGATTTCTTATCCTCTACTGCCATCTAGTGGCCTTTTTCTTGTACTGTTTTACCAAATTAACCCTTTCATTAATGTTACAATTTCCACTTTTTAGCTGTTATTATATGTAATTATTGTTACCATTTATCTCTCTTTATATTTTTTACATTACTGGATTAGAAAATCCACCAATATGTTTCAACTTCAGTCCCACCGTATTTTTTAAAAGTTATACAGGCATAGTTTGACACCATTAAAACTTAAACACTTACAATCGTATTTTTTAAAAGAATTAATAAGGAATAACATATTTCATACATGTATAACGTGATTCAATGAACAATTACATGATTTAGCAATGCCAACCATGAGAGTGCTTTGTCTCATACAAGTTAACTTTCAGCAGCGCAGAGCTTGGTTGCATGCAGTACCTAGCCGTACCAGGCGCCATAAATCACAACATGTCATGATCTCATTCTTGGCTTCAGTTCGCGATGATCTCAGCCCTGGCGTACGTGACTTTCTGCATGTGCCTTGCTTCTAATGAGCGGGTTACGGTTGGCTAGGTTTTGCCTGCGCGGCCTGAGCAGCTCCTCTGCTCATTAAAAAAGCACACGTTCATGAATACACAGAGTATAGGAATAATGTATGATAAACACACAGAATATAAGAATAAAATATGAGTTTAAACTCACTCTTTAAACACTCAGTAGGTATACACTCAGTAGTAAGCACTCAGTAGTAAAACACTCAGTAGTTTAAACACTCAGCAGTCAGACTTCACACTAAAAGAATACTCAGTAGTGAAACACTCAGTAGTTATAACATATTGCAAACCATTGATAATGTGTATAAATATAGAAAAAGAACCTAACAATCAATCTAGGATTTAGGCCTTATGCAATCAATCTAGGCTTAAGGCCTACATGATCTTCAGGCCCACATGAGTTAGGCCTTATTCACATGATCTTTAGGCCTACATGATTTAGGCCTTATTCAACACTTTACTAAGCTCGGAGAGGAGGAGTGTGAGAGGTGTCTGACCACCAGGGCGAGAGGTGGCAAACACACAAAGGTTCTGCTGCAGAGAGCAGGTTACACTACAGGTCAGATGAAGAAAGGGATTGGCCTGAAGATACATCAGCCAGAAGACCTGCATGTAGACCTGCAGAAGGTGGTCATGCTCCCACGAATGCCTGGTGTCAAGTCAGCTGTGTTCACAAGACAGATCATTGCTTGTCACGAAACCTTTGCATCAGTTGGAAAAAGAACAAAAAGAAGACCATCTCTGTTATTTGGCACGAGGGGATTGGAGGGCGGTCCGCTACAGAAATTACTTCTGCTTATGCAGTGGCATTGGAGAAGGAGTGTGACATCAAGCACATTGTCTACTAGGTAGACGATTGTAGCGCTCAGAACAAAAACCTTTCTCTTCGCTTGTGTCCTTAGTTAACTCAAACTCCATCTCAGCTGAAGACATCACCCTTAAGTTCTTCGAGCCAGGGCACGCATTTATGAGTGCAGACAGTTTCCATCATGGTGTGGAGCAAGAGATGGAGAGCAGATCAGGAGGGGGTGGTCTTCAATTTTGAAGACTCCCTCTCGGTGGTTGGAAACTCAGAAATGAAGACATCAGGGACTGGACAGATGGCCACTCTGCAGTCAAAAGAAAGAAGATTCCCAAGCTGGCAGACCTTAAAGTTGTCCAGTTGCAACGTGGTTCAAGGTGCATGTTTGTGAAGATCTCCCACGAGAAGGAGGTCTTTACAGAGGACCTCTAGCTGGATTTCCTGCAAAAGGATTTCCTGCAAAAGAAGTTTCAGCTTAAGATACTCACCACTTTGAGGCTACAGGACAAAGGCATAGGGCCAAGAAGAGGGATATCCTCATGAAGCTGGGTCCCCTCATGCCACCCACCAGGAGGCTGTTCTGGAGCTCCCTGCCTGTGAGCAACACTGATGAAGAGTAATGAGAGGAAGAAAAGAAGGATATACTGTATATATGGAGGATAAAATAAATGATAAGTGATGAGATTAATTGTTACTGTAAGGCATTTTGATAGAAATAAATAGACATAATTTAATATTGAATCTAATTAATTGGAAAGAACTTCACGGAGAGAGATGAATATTGTCATTTTGTGTACCAGCTTCATTTTGCATTAAATAATATACATTTTATTTTCTATTTAAGTGAATTAATCTATATAGTGTGACTTATATTCACAATTAGAAAACTTACACACATCATCACCGCCGTACAACTTTTTATCTTAAAACGATTACTGATATTTAACCTAGGGCGTTGTTATCTATTAATTGCATTGCAAAATCAGTTGCAACTTCAATTTAAGTAATCGGAAGAGAAATAGTGTTGTTTTCTTTTAATTCTATACAACAGTGGGATTATAAAATAAATCCTAATGATATGTGAGATGGTAATGCACATTTGTTACCTTCAAATACAGGCCAATTGATTCTCCTTTACATTAGGCTATGTTATATTTGTAGGAGCCATTTCTGTTTATTGTTGGCGTGATATTTTATTTAGTTTGAATTAATTAATTTATATTAGTATTTTGGACACACTGGGTGGCAGTGATTAGATGCACATGGTTGTATATAGAGGGCATAGGTGACAGGAAGTGGTAGGCACAGGTAGGGGGAGCACAAATATCAACCGGTATGTTCATCTGTTTGTACTATTAACTACTGAAATAAACCACAAACCTCAACTGCAATAATCTGTCTTCTCAAATTTTTTATATAGATAAATAAGTTCATTAAAAAAAACAAAACAAAGAAATGACACATTTCCAATATTCTGCCTACAATTTATTTGGCCGGACTACAAAAAAGCTTTAAAGTTATTTTTCTCAGTTCTACACTCTGGTGAGTTAAGGTATTTTGCCTTTGTAGGGCACTATAGGAATGAGTTTAAATCAAAACTTGCAGACTGTTGGACCGACATAGAACCCGGCAGAAACAATTCCAATTCTGGTGTTTCCCATCCATGACCTCCTTCTTTCCTTCTCTTCTTCCTGTCTCTAGTAGTTCCCACAGTCGGCCCCAGCGTTGCTCCTGGTGTGGGTCCTGGGGGGCTGGGGGGTGGCCAGGCCCTGCGACGGTCCCCCAGCATGGAGCCCAGTCTGGAGGACAGTCCCAGCAAGGTTCCAAAGAGCTGGAGCTTCGGAGAACGTAGCAGAACCAGACAGGCCTTCAGGATCCGAGGAGCTGCCTCCCGCCAAAACTCTGAAGGTAAGAAGGACTGAGTCCATCCAACCAGAACAATCTGTAAGTAAGTCAAAACTGCTGCTGGTGGATCTTTAACATCCACAACTACAGAGCAAATAAAACTGTGGTGGGGTCCACAATCAAGAGTGAAAACATCTGCATGTACTGCTGTTGTGTTGAACGTTGACAAACGGTCTTCATCTTCGTTGGTACCCTGTGTCTTCGACTACAGCAGAGAGAGAATGCATCACATAGTTACCTTTTCTGAGCTTTGAGCAGCTCATTACATACAGAAATAATCAAAGGAGTTGTTTCCCACATTAATGTATTCATTGATTGATCTTTTGGTGAGCTGGAATCTTCAGGATATTTAACTCCTATATCCTCACATACAACCTTCCTCTTCCTCTTCAACCAACATTTAAAGTTGGTTGAAGAGGAAGAGGAAACCTCTTTCAGATATGAACACGCATCAAAACAGTCCAACATCTGATCTTAAGCTGCACTTTATGCAAATCAGATTAATTATTAGTGATAATTAAATCTTTTTATTGGTTTTCAATTAATGACGACACGGCATTATTAACATCTACAGGACCTGAAACACAACCCAACGTAAATAAGGACATCTACAGGATCCGGAACATGATTTAATTAATTTCAATTTTATTTATATAGCGCCAAATCACAATATCTCTGAGCGCTTTTCATAAAGAGCAGGTCTAGACCATACTCTGTGATGTTATTTACAGAAGCCCAACAGTTCCCACCAAGAGCAGCACTAGGCGACAGAGGCAAGGAAAAACTTCCTTTAAGAGGCAGAAACCACGAGCAGAACCATGGCTCAGAGGGCAACACAATATCTACACAGAAAACAGAAAATTCAAACAGTAAAAGGTGGTGAAAAAAAGTGGTGGTCCCCAGATCCAGACTCCACAGCTCCAGAGCCAGAAACAGCTTCAGGAAGTGCAGCCAGCCTTAACTATAAGCTGCTCCATCCCACTTGGGAAGGAGCAGCTCTCATTTCTAGAAATCTGGCCAAGTTTATTAGTGGACCAAATCCATGACAACCCACAGTTGAGACCAGGAGGCAGAGTCGCAGTCTAACCCACTTCTCTGCCCTTCTTTTTCAGCAGTTAACCACCCAAAACCCTACGCAGAGTCGCAGTCTAACACACTTCTCTGCTCCTCCATTTCAGGAGTTACTTAGTGAAAATCCTATAGTGACGGTGTCTGTCCCCCGACCATTGAAATTATTTAAAAAGGTAAACAGAAGAGGAGCTGTGCATAAAAACCTCATAAAAATTAAAACCACAAGAGCAATAGTGCAAACGAATAGGAGAGTTAAATGTGGACTCTTAAACATCAGATCTCTCTCTTCTAAAGCTGTACTAGTAAATGAACTAATATCAGATTATGATATTGATTTATTTGGTCTTACTGAAACCTGGCTGGGTGATGGAGAATATGTTAGCCTAAATGAATCCACCCCTCCCAGTCATATTAATACTCACATTCCTCGAGGCACAGGCCGAGGAGGTGGAGTTGCAGCTATCTTCGACTCTAGCCTACTAATCAGCTCTAAACCTAAACTAAACTATAACTCATTTGAAAGCCATGTTCTTAGTCTTTCGCACCCAAGTTGGAAATCACTGCAACCAATTCTCTTCGTTATAGTGTACCGAGCACCTGGCCCGTACTCTGAATTCTTATCTGAGTTTTTGTCAACTTTAGTCCTTAAAACGGACAAAGTTATTATTGTAGGGGATTTTAATATTCATGTGTGACAGCTTCAGTACTGCGTTTATCTCTCTGTTAGATTCCATTGGCTTCTCTCAGAGTGTTCATGAACCGACTCACTGTTTTAACCACACCCTCGACCTTGTTTTGGTGTATGGAAATTGAACATTTAGTGGTGTTCCCACAGAATCCCTCTTTGTCCGACCACTGTTTGATAACTTTTGAGTTTGTATTGCTGAACTACACGCCATTGGGCAAAAATTTCTATACAAGATGTCTGTCTGATAGAGCTGTAGCTAAATTTAAGGATGCGATTCCATCAGCTCTAAATACATTATCTAGTCACAAAGTAACGGAGGACTCCTATGCTAGTTTCAGTCCCTCCCAAATCGATCATCTTGTTGATAGTGCTGCAGGCTCGCTGCGAATGACACTCGACTCTGTAGCCCCTCTAAAAAAGAAAATACTAAAACAAAGACGGTTAGCTCCATGGTATAATACTGAAACTCGCAAATTAAAGCAAATATCGCGGAAACTTGAGAGGAATTGGCATTCCACCAAACTGGAAAATTGTCGTTTAATTTGGCAAGATAGTCTTAAAACTTATAGGAAGGCCCTCCGTAATGCCAGAGCAGCGTACTACTCGTCATTAATAGAGGAAAATAGGAACAACCCCAGGTTTCTTTTCAGCACTGTAGCCAGGCTGACAGAGAGTCACAGCTCTATTGAGCCAAGTATTCCCATAGCTCTCAGTAGTTACGACTTCATGAGCTTCTTTAATGATAAAATTCTAACTATTAGAAACAAAATTCACCAAGACCTGCCCTTAACTGGCACCAACTTATCTCTAAACTCAGGAACCTTAGAAACAGCTGTAGAACCAGATACATGTTTAGACTGTTTTGCTTCCCTCAATCTTTACCAACTAACATCAATAATTTCTTCATCTAAACCATCAACCTGCCTCTTAGACCCCATCCTGACTAGGCTGCTTAAAGAAGTTTTACCCTTATTCAACACTTCTATACTAGATATGATCAATCTATCTCTATCAACAGGCTATGTACCACAGTACTTTAAAGTAGCTGTAATTAAACCTCTTCTTACTAACGACCTCCTTATTGCATCAGACAAAGGACTTGTCTCTGTACTGGTTTTATTAGATCTTAGTGCTGCATTTGATACCATTGACCATCAGATCCTATTGCAGAGACTGGAACATTTCATTGGCATTAAAGGAACCGCTCTAAGCTGGTTTAAGTCCTATTTATCAGATCGATTTCAGTTTGTACATGTTAACGATGAGTCCTCCATGCACGCCAAAGTTAGTCATGGAGTTTCCTCAAGGATCTGTCCTCGGACCAATCCTCTTCACTTTATATATGCTTCCTTTAGGCAATATTATCAGGAAATATTCCATAAAGTTTCATTGTTATGCAGATGATACTCTGTTATATCTATCGATCAAACCAGATGAAACTCATCAGTTAGCTAAACTTAAAATGTGCCTTCAGGATGTTAAAACCTGGATGACCTGTAATTTTCTAATGTTAAACTCAGACAAAACTGAAGTTATTGTTCTGGGGCCTAAGCACCTCCGTGACGCATTATCTAAAGATATAGTTTCCCTTGATGGCATCGCCCTGGCCTCCAGCACCACTGTGAAGAATCTTGGAGTTATCTTTGATCAGGTCGTTTAAGTCTCATAAAGCAAATTTCAAGGACTGCCTTTTTTCACCTACGTGATATTGCGAAAATCAGGAACATCCTGTCTAAAAATGATGCAGAAAAACTAGTCCATGCATTTGTTACTTCTAGGCTGGATTACTGCAATTCCTTATTATCAGGCTGCTCGAAAAAAGTCCATTAAGACTCTTCAGCTGATCCAGAATGCTGCAGCACGTGTTCTGACAGGAACCAGGAAAAGAGATCATATTTCTCCTGTTTTAGCTTCTTTGCATTGGCTTCCAGTAAAATCCAGAATAGAATTTAAAATCATTCTTCTTACCTACAAAGCTCTTAATGGTCAGGCACCATCTTATCTTAAAGAGCTCATAGTACCTTACTACCCCACCAGAGCACTGCGCTCCCAGAATGCAGGGTTACTTGTGGTTCCTAGAGTCTCCAAAAGTAGACTAGGAGCCAGAGCGTTCAGCTATCAAGCTCCTCTCCTGTGGAACCAGGTTCCAGTTTGGGTTCAGGAGGCAGACACCATCTCCACATTTAAGAGTAGGCTTAAGACTTTCCTCTTTGATAAAGCTTATAGTTAGGGCTGGCTCAGGTGAGTCCTGAACCATCCCTTAGTTATGCTGCTATAGGCCTAGACTGGCGGGGGATTTCCCATGATGCACTGAGCTCCTCTCTCCTCTACTTTCTCTCCCTCTGTATGCAACCTCATCCCATTATTGCATGTTACTAACACAACTTCTCCCCTTTCCGGTAGTCTTGTGCTTTCTCGTCTCTCTCCTCTCTCCTCCTGTCACTTCCTGCAGGTGTTTCTGGCTCTGGAGCTGTGGAGTCTGGATCTGTGGTTGCGGGTCACCTGCTGCCCCCGTGTTCCTGCTCGACACCCTCTGCTGCAACAACTATTGTTACTAGTCCTATTGTTATTATTGTTATTATAATCATTAACATTACGACTGTTATCATTAACACTATTATAAATATCTGTACTATTTTTCATTTAGTCTATAGCAACATTACCTTTACTGTCTGTACCTCTGTATGTGGATATTGTGTAGGCTGCCTCCCTCCCCCCTCTCTCTCTCTCTCTCTCTCTCTCTCTCTCTCCCTCTCCCTCTCCCTCTCTCTCCTTCACCCCCAACCGGTGGAGGCAGATGGCCGCCCACCCTGAGTCATGGTTCTGCTCGAGGTTTCTGCTTCTTAAAGGAAGTTTTTCCTTGCCTCTGTCTCCTAGTGCTGCTCTTGGTGGGAACTGTTGGGCTTCTGTAAATAGCATCACAGAGTACGGTCTAAACCTGCTCTTTATGAGGCGCTGTGAGATAACTGTTGTTGTGATTTGGCACTATATAAATAAAATTGAAAAAAACTGAAGTGACAGGAGGAGAGAGGAGAGGGACGAGAAAGCACAAGACTACCGGAAAGGGGAGAAGTTGTGTTAGTAACATGCAATAATGGGATGAGGTTGCATACAGAGGGAGAGAAAATAGAGGAGAGAGGAGCTCAGTGCATCATGGGAAATCCCCCGGCAGTCTAGGCCTATAGCAGCATAACTAAGGGATGGTTCAGGACTCACCTGAGCCAGCCCTAACTATAAGCTTTATCAAAGAGGAAAGTCTTAAGCCTACTCTTAAATGTGGAGATGGTGTCTGCCTCCTGAACCCAAACTGGAACCTGGTTCCACAGGAGAGGAGCTTGATAGCTGAACGCTCTGGCTCCTAGTCTACTTTTGGAGACTCTAGGAACCACAAGTAACCCTGCATTCTGGGAGCGCAATGCTCTGGTGGGGTAGTAAGGTACTATGAGCTCTTTAAGATAAGATGGTGCCTGACCATTAAGAGCTTTGTAGGTAAGAAGAATGATTTTAAATTCTATTCTGGATTTTACTGGAAGCCAATGCAAAGAAGCTAAAACAGGAGAAATGTGATCTCGACCTGTGTAAATAACGACATCTACCAGACTGGTAACCTGATGCGTCATTAATACGACACATATGGGAGAAAAAAACACGACCCGACATGAATAACGACGTCTATGGGACACAAAACACAACACTTCTGTGATGTCATACTCACACACCCTTCATTTTGTTTATGATGACATCATACTCACCAGCTGAACATGTTTACATAAATCTAAGATCCAACCAAACCCCATTATAAAAGATGAAGAAAGAGCAGGAGAGAAGGATGGAAGGATGGAGGAGAATGTGCTGAGAGGTCCTCTTCTGGTTTTAACTGGCTCCGCTTCTCGATGCTAAGCTAAGCTAGCAGAGAAGAATCTGACGAGTAACAGAAAACAAGATGATGTCAGTCAGGGGATGTTGGTGAGGATGATGATGGTGATGGTGGACATTGTTGGGTGTCCTATTACAAAGAGGACATAGACCTGCTCTATGTGAAAAGTGACAGTATAGATGATGGTGGTGATGATGAAGATGATGGTGATGAAGAGAACTATGATAATGTTGAAGAAGAAGGTGGTTGTGATGATTTTGGTGATGAGGATGATGAAAACGATGAAAATGGCGGTTGCTCTGTAAGCAGCGACTGTGAAAAAGAATTTCCTCCTTGAGGACAAATGAACTCTTACTGCGATGAAGATTATATTAACAGTGAGGATGAGGATTAGGATGATGATGATGATGAGTAGACTGTAATCTTCCTCTGATGATAGTGTCTCTCCTCCTCCTGTAGTGCTGATAGAGATGCAGGATGAAGAGTTCAGACAGAAGAGCTCCCCAGGTCAGCACACACACAGAGACACACACACAGAGACACACACAGAGACACACACATTGAGACACACTGAGACACACAGAGACACACACACAGAGACACACACACAGAGACACACACACAGAGACACACACAGAGACACACACATTGAGACACACAGAGACACACACACAGAGACACACACACAGAGACACACACACACACACACAGAGACACACACAGAGACACACACATTGAGACACACTGAGACACACAGAGACACACACACAGAGACACACACAGAGACACACACATTGAGACACACAGAGACACACACACAGAGACACACACAGAGAGACACACACAGAGACACACACAGAGAGACACACACACAGAGACACACACAGAGACACACACAGAGAGACACACAGAGACACACACACAGAGACACACACATTGAGACACACACACAGACACACACACATTGAGACACACACAGAGACACACACAGAGACACACACATTGAGACACACACAGAGACACACACATTGAGACACACACATTGAGACACACACACAGAGACACACACAGAGACACACACATTGAGACACACACAGAGACACACACAGAGACACACACACAGAGACACACACAGAGACACACACAGAGACACACACATTGAGACACACACAGAGACACACACATTGAGACACACAGAGACACACACAGAGACACACACACAGAGACACATTGAGACACACACACAGAGACACACACAGAGACACACACATTGAGACACACAGAGACACACACATTGAGACACACAGAGACACACACAGAGACACACACATTGAGACACACAGAGACACACACAGAGACACACACAGAGACACACACATTGAGACACACAGAGACACACACAGAGACACACACAGAGAGACACACACAGAGACACACACATTGAGACACACAGAGACACACACAGAGACACACACACAGAGACACATTGAGACACACACACAGAGACACACACACAGAGACACACACAGAGACACACACAGAGAGACACACACAGAGACACACACAGAGACACACAGAGACACACACAGAGAGACACACACAGAGACACACACACAGAGACACACACATTGAGACACACACAGACACACAGACACACACACATTGAGACACACACACAGACACACACAGAGACACACACATTGAGACACACACAGAGACACACACATTGAGACACACACATTGAGACACACACACAGAGACACACACAGAGACACACATTGAGACACACACAGAGACACACACATTGAGACACACAGAGACACACACAGAGACACACACACAGACACACACAGAGACACACACAGACACACACAGAGACACACACACAGAGACACACACATTGAGACACACAGAGACACACACATTGAGACACACAGAGACACACACAGAGACACACACAGAGACACACACACACAGAGACACACACAGAGACACACACACTGAGACACACACACAGAGACACACACATTGAGACACACACAGAGACACACACACAGAGACACACACAGAGACACACACATTGAGACACACAGATACAAACACAGACACACACAGAGACAAACACAGACACACACAGAGACAAACACAGAGAGACACACACACATAGAGACACACACACAGACACGCACACTCTGAGACACACACTGAGACACGCACACTCTGAGACACACACACTGAGAGACACACACACTGAGACATCCTGTTGTTCCTCTCATTGACATAATGCATTCACTTCGTCATAACTACATTGACTTACATTCATTTTCTTACCTTTACCATTACTCTCCTAACCTCCTAACCCACTTACTTCAAGGGTGTCTGCGGGGTCTTTAAAAGTCTTAAAAGGTAAAATTTTGTGAAAATTAAGGCCATTAAAAAGTATTAAAAAGTAAAGCTTAGCCAAAAATACTCGAAAGGCAGTGAGTACCGACTGTGTGATTCGTTTCTGTAACGTTAGGCGCTCCAAAAAATAGATCCGTGCAAACCGGAAAATGATTTATGAGTACAAGCAACGTAATCTCCCACGCGCTGGACCCTCAATCCTATCGTCCAAAACATAGTCGGAGTGGCGATCAGGAGTAACAGGATTAACCCGGTCGCTCTGTGGCCACTTGAAGATCCCCGTTCCTCAAAAACAAGAGCGAAATGTGCCGCCAGCAGCTGAATCGGTAAGACAGAAGACAACAGGGAACATTCAAGGAGTGATGTTCTCGTCAGTGTCACTGTTTGTGAACAGATCAATCACAGCCTGGATGGAGCGGGATTTTAAAAAAAAGTTTGATGTGCTGCAACAAACTTTATAAACGTTGAACTCGGTGTTCTGCATAAACGGTGCTGATTATTGACGAGTTAGTAGCCTGATCAGAATCAAGGTTGGAGACTCTCATGTAGCCTGCAGCAATAAAAAACAACCCCAAACTGAAACAGCTGTAATTTGAATTAATATTATACTAGTGGAAAGTTATATTCTATTATATGAAATTATATTGAATATAGTAACATAATGAATACATTAATATCAAACTTACACGTTACTATTAAATTAACAATATACTTTTAATTTAATGTTCTAATATTATACTAATCCAGTCATTGAGACCAGTTCCTCCTCCAGGTTGTGCCTGTGCTGCAGCGCCTACACTACTTATTTATTCATCACTCAGTTTATTCTCTTCATCTTTGTTCCCTCCTGCCCTGTTTGAATTTTGTTGTATTGATCAAGTGGACGGTGAAAGTTATCACACACATCACTGCAGGCAAAGCTCACATTATCTAGTTTAAACCAACTAAAACACAAAATGACACAAAATGTAACGTTGTGCACAGAAACCTCATAGTTTATTTAAGATACAGAAAATCAGACCTTCACATAGAAAACTGTTGGCCCGGACAGACTGTTAACTGTTAACTGAGAAAGTTGGTTTATGCTTCAATTTTTAGGTGGCGTTACAACCTGATGACATATAGGCAATAAATATGTTCTAAATATATTTCAATTCCTTTTAAAAAATCCAAAATGTCACTTTTAAAGGTGTGTGTCTGATTTAATCAGTTACAGCTCAAAGTGGCGCAGAAGTCTTAAAATATGTTGAAATAGTCTTGAAAAGGTGAATTTTACTTCAGGATTCCTGTATAATATACCCTGTACCCCCTAAACTTAACTTAACCAAACCTTCGAACTTTAAACCAAGTCTCCACTCTAACCTTTAATAATTAACATTATGAGAACCTGCCCCACAACATGAGTAAAACTGAACCATCTTCTTCTTCTTCAGGGGTTTTCCGGGTCAGTCCCCGTTAGCTCTGCCGTGATGATATCTTTTCCACTGCAACCTTGTCCAGCTGTGAGGCTGCAGTGGAAACAATGTGGTCAGTGGGGCCCTTAACAGGTTATTGTGGCCATGATCGGGACATGTCTTAGCTGGACTTGTTTCTGGTCTCTGGTCCTCCTGTTCTTACACAGTTAAATGTTGTGTAACCTGCAGTCTGGGGTAGGGGGGCGCTGAATGACACAGTCCTTCAAACACCCTGATGTTGTTTCAGAGGCCAGCCTGCCAGGAGAAGATATGGCCGACGACAACAAAAGCTGCCACTGTGAGTTCGTCCCTCAGGATCTGACCCCGGGGTTAAAGGTCACCATCAGAGCCATCTGGTACGAACTGTTTCTGTTTATTTTCATTCAGAAAATCATTTTTATTTCTCAGTTTATCTGCTCATCATTCATCGCTTCACTCAGTTTATTTGCTGGTTATTATGTACTGAACTCATTCTGCTTTTTATTCACGTTATTTTTTGTTTGTTTTTGATTTATTTGTGCTCACCCCAGGGTCAAAGGCCACCATCAGCTGTTGGGTAAGAGCCGTCAGTCTGACCTCCAGTTAGATCCATGGTTTTCACTGTTTTCTGTTGTCTGCCTCTAAAGCTCCACTGTCATGCTGTTAAACATCATTTTATTATTATTATTATCATTATTATGCTTGTTGTTGGTGTCTGTCCTGCAGAGTAGTGTTGTTTAGTCTTCTTACAGCTCCTCACCTGTTGATTATGTGAAGTTAAAGTTTCACCTTCAGATCTTTCCATTCCTTCCTCCAACAGGATCAGTTCTGTGAAGTTCATACAGTCTGGTATCAGAACCAGATTCTGAATGACAAAACAAAAACCAAAACCTCCTAAGAAGACCAGCAACCATCAGCATGTCTAAAAGTGTAGTATTAGTATGTTCTGGATCCATCCACCCATTTTCTGTCACTCCTGGTCCTGGTCCAAGATAAGTGACTAAGCAGCAGACTGAAGGTGTGGCCACACATTAGGACCGTATCAACGATGATGATTGGGATTTGTGATGACTGATGGGACCAAGTTGGACCAGGTCTGATCCCGTTTGGGTCAGTTGGTGCTGACAGATAAAGTCATACAGACTGTGATATGTAAAGAGTCTGATCGAAGTCTTCAGATCCAGTCGCTGCCAGCTGTTTTCACGTTTTTTTTTATATTGGCGACAATGTCAGCGACCAATGATGTCACTTGTGTGTCGCCAAGGAAGAAGTACCTGTAAATAAACAGCTCTACCTGAAGTTAGCTCCATTTTACAGGATCTCATCAAGCACAATCACAGATGTCGCTGCATATAAACAAGCTGCTGGTTGGTGTTCAGGTTTGTTTTGGTACAGCGGTCTGGACTCGAAACGCCTTTCTAGTCTTCTGACACTACATCACATTCACCCGTTCATACACATTCAGACACTGATGGCACAGTCATCGGGAGCAATCTGAGGTTCAGTATCTTGCCCAAGCACACTTCGACATGCAGCCCGGAGGAGCTGGGGGATCCAACCGCTATCTTCCGATTAGTGGGCAACCCGCTGTACCTCGTGAACCATAGCCACCCAAGGTCACGTGACTGTGTTCTGGTGGGCTCTGCGGTGTTGTCCTCCAGTTGGACGTCTCCAGGATACCTACTAAGGAAAGACCCTGATGTTGAACGACCTCAGTTGAGTCCTTTCAACATGAAGGAGCAGATGTTCTCCTTCTCGCTGAATCCAGACACCCTACCAAGGAAACTCATTTCAGCTGCTGTGATCCAGCATCTCATTCTTTCAGTCCAGACCCAGTGTCAGAATTCAGTTCAGTTTTATTAATATTGGCCCATTTCATAATAGATGTTATCCTATTGCACTAGCGATGGTGTCTGCCTCCTGAACCCAAACTGGAACCTGGTTCCACAGGAGAGGAGCTTGATAGCTGAACGCTCTGGCTCCTAGTCTACTTTTGGAGACTCTAGGAACCACAAGTAACCCTGCATTCTGGGAGCGCAGTGCTCTGGTGGGGTAGTAAGGTACTATGAGCTCTTTAAGATAAGATGGTGCCTGACCATTAAGAGCTTTGTAGGTAAGAAGAATGATTTTAAATTCTATTCTGGATTTTACTGGAAGCCAATGCAAAGAAGCTAAAACAGGAGAAATGTGATCTCTTTTCCTGGTTCCTGTCAGAACACGTGCTGCAGCATTCTGGATCAGCTGAAGAGTCTTAATGGACTTTTTCGAGCAGCCTGATAATAAGGAATTGCAGTAATCCAGCCTAGAAGTAACAAATGCATGGACTAGTTTTTCTGCATCATTTTTAGACAGGATGTTCCTGATTTTCGCAAAATTACGTAGGTGAAAAAAGGCGGTCCTTGAAATTTGCTTAATGTGAGACTTAAACGACATGTCCTGATGTTTCCTGATAATATTGCCTAAAGGAAGCATGTATAAAGTGAAGAGGATTGGTCCGAGGACAGATCCTTGTGGAACTCCATGACTAACTTTGCTGTGCGTGGAGGACTCATCGTTAACATGTACAAACTGAGGATACTCTGTAGGTCTGTGAGATGAATCTACAGAGACCAGTCTAGACTAGATAACCCAATCGGTACCTGTTAGAGCGTGAGACCACCTGAGCTCCCAGCCATCAGAGGTTGGATGACAGCTGACTTCCTGTTTTCTCTCCCTCTCTCAGTATCATGCGTTTCATGGTGTCTAAGAGGAAGTTTAAGGAGAGTCTTCGTCCTTATGATGTCATGGATGTGATTGAACAGTATTCAGCCGGACACCTAGACATGCTGGCCCGCATCAAGAACCTCCAGTCAAGGTAAGCCCTCTGACCCCTGCCATGTATATTTTAGGTTGCTTCAGCATCTCTTAAAAAGACACATGTACTAAAGGAAGTATTATTATAAAGTATTCTTAGTGGTAGTACGCTGCTAGTATTTTTAACAACCTGTCTACTGATTGGCAGGGTGGATCAGATAGTAGGCAGAGGAACACCAATCGCAGATAAGGACCGTCCCAAAGCAGCCAATGAGGAGCTTCCTGAGGACCCTAGCATGATGGGACGGTTGGGGAAGGTGGAGAAGCAGGTAACCAATGACACTCACTGAAAATACTTTGAGCAGAGTAGCACTGAAAATCTGAACCTGCTCACTTCTTGGTCTTCCGCTGGTCTTGCAGGTCCTGTCCATGGAGAGAAAGTTGGACTTCCTGGTCAACATCTACATCCAGCGAATGGGAATCCCTCAGGCTGAGACCGACGCCTATTTTGGGTCCAAGGAGCCGGACCCTGCCCCGCCCTACCACAGTCCGGTGGATCAGCTGGAGAAGAGCCAGTCCATTTCCAAGATCCTGCAGTCAGTCTACTATTACTGGGAAACCACAGAACCAGTATCAGCCAGGACCTGTTGTTTACATGCTGTTGTTGTTGATTGGGTGTTTACATGTTGCCATATTGTTGTTGTTTTCTTGTTGTTAACATGTTTATTACATGTTGTGTAGGGTGTTGCCTGGTGACCACGTTGAGAAGAATCGTTTTGTGACGAAGATGGTCCGTTCCAGCAGCTCCACCGGACACAGGAACTACAATGCCCCCACCTGCCCGCCCTCCACCTCCTGGCAGCCAATCAGCTCCCAGCTCCACCAGCAGGCCCCACCACCTCCCCAGCGTAGTCAAGGCAAAACTCCAAGTCCGGTGGGTGACGGGTCACTGGTTCGACTCCCACCTCCTCCGGCTGGAGAGAGGCAGGGCGGGAACCGATCGAACCGGCACAGCACCGGAGACCGAGGTGGGGCAGAGAGACCAGAGAGGAGAGGAGAGGTCACTGGCGGGACCGAAGGAGGAGAGGAGGTGAAGCCGGACAGCGACACATCCATCTCCATCCCGTCTGTAGACCATGAGGAGCTGGAGCGCTCCTTCAGTGGCTTCTCCATCTCCCAGTCCAGAGAAAACCTGGACTTCCTCAACAACGACTTCTACTCCTCCTCCGCCGACCTGGGAGACCACCGAGGAGGAGGACGAGGAGGAGGAGGCGGCACCTCCCGCTGCGCCAACGTCCGGCCCTACATTGCAGAGGGGGAGTCGGACTCTGACTCGGAGCTCTGTGCCCCCTCGCCACACTCGGACCAGGCCTGGACCGGAACAAAGTAAGCTGAAGGTAAACTGGAACAGAACCAGCAGAACAGTTAAAATAATAATTAGAATGTGAATGAAAACCATGAAACTGTGAAAAAGGTCTTTAAACACCAGCTGGAGCTACAGAGTGAAGCATCATGGGAACTGTGAAAGGCGCAAAGCACTGGGTGTCACGGTGGTTTTTACCTGACCAGCAAATGTTTGTTCTCACTGTCACTGATTGGATCACTACTGGGACATGCTCACACCTGATTGGTTCATGGCTGGGAGACACTCACACCTGATTGGTTCATGGCTGGGAGACACTCACACCTGATTGGTTCATGGCTGGGAGACACTCACACCTGATTGGGTCACTGCTGGGAGACACTCACACCTGATTGGTTCATGGCTGGGAGACACTCACACCTGATTGGTTCATGGCTGGGAGACACTCACACCTGATTGGGTCACTGCTGGGAGACACTCGCACCTGATTGGTTGCTTGTTTCCACGTTTAAGACATTTGTAAACACTATTATCAGCGTCACATAACCACAACTCACGATTGCATATAATCATCACATTTTAAAATCTTGACACAAAGCATCATGGGAACATGCATGACAGGCTGACGTATCACCATGCCAACACACTGTTGTTTGTTTGATGTCTCTATTTCCTCTCCAGAGCTCAAACCCAAAATCATCCTGAGCTTTCAGCTGAAACCTGAACTTCTCTGCAGGGAGCTGTTGAACTGGCTCGAAGGTAATGAAGGGAAAGCACTGTTTCTGCCCTCTCTACCTGAGAGCTAGAATACACAAATTTCAATCTGCGTTCTGCCTTTAGATATTCTTCAGGTGAAAACAGACACAAACAAACTGTTTTTCCAGCTTCTTAGTTACTTGAATTTATTTAGATTTATTATTGTTGATAGTGATTAAATATACTGTCAATATTAACATTTATTGAACATTTACACTTGATTCAAAAGTCACACCAAATCACATGAATTCCACTAGCCAAAGCTGAAATGGTAGTTACTGCCACCCTGCTAAGCTACTTAGCTTTCAACTGAACTAGCTGAAACATTTTCAGCTGTCATCTTTCCCTCTGTTTGTGCTGCCGGGAGAATATGGATCTGTTTATGCCCTCTCAAGTCTCTAAAAGTGTCTGCACGTTGTTCTCTCTGAACACTTTAAACACAGAGTTTAATTTGCTGCTTTTACTGTAATAATCCTTATATATGGCAGATGGTCTTATTTCAGATTATTTGTATTGTTCATGACATGAAAGTGCTTTGTTGAAATTACTGCGCATGGTCAGTATAGATTTACAATGATACTGAAATAGATAGAAATGAGTATTGAATCACCTTGAAGGACTTCGTCTGACGTGAGGCGTCCATGTTTGGGTGTTTCATGGAAACACATGACGTGAACACAGCATTTTTACATCACAATCAAGTTGCCATAGAAACATGAGTATGTACAGTATGATGTATTCATCACCAACTGTTAATTATAATATAATTAATATTCATTCATAAATCCAAAGAGTTGATTAAATAAAACAGAGACAGGAATGTACAAGACTTCTTTGTTGACAGACAGAAGCAGATCCGTCCAGCAGAGGACAGTCAGGAGGATCACCAAAATAAGTCTCTTTACTCCCTGCCCTGCCTTTCCCTTCCCTGCCACACCCTGACCCGCCCTGCCCTTCCCTGCCCTTCCCTGCCGCGCTCTCCCCCACCCTAACCTGTCCTACCCTGCTCCGCCCTGCCCTGCCCTGCCCTGCCCTGCCCTGCCTTTCCCTTCCCTGCCGCGCCCTGCCCTGCCGCGCCCTGACCCGCCCTGCCCTTCCCTGCCGCGCTCTCCCCCACCCTAACCTGTCCTACCCTGCTCCGCCCTGCCCTGCCCTGCCTTTCCCTTCCCTGCCGCGCCCTGCCCTGCCTTTCCCTTCCTTGCCGCGCCCTGACCCGCCCTGCCCTTCCCTGCCGCGCTCTCCCCCACTCTAACCTGCCCTGCCCTGCCCCACCCTAACCTTTCACGCCCTGACCTGCCGTGCCCCTGCCCTTAACCCTGATAACATTTCACTTCACAGTTCAGATAAAAATCAAGTTGTATTTAAATCAATGTACTTAAAATGTGTTTTGGAGAGAAATTGGTACAAATAAATCTTAAATCTTGTTTCTGCAGCTCAGACTGTAACACACAAACTGTATCTTTGTAAACAATGTTACCTGTTTGATTGTATTTCAATATTTATTAAAAACCTTTAACCACAATAAACCTGATTAATTCAATTTTATTGAGATAGCTCCAGTTCATAACACAAGTTATCTCATGTCACTTTTCATGTAGAGGTCTAGACTGTACTCTTACTGTACTCTGAGGAGTAGAGAGGAGCTCGGTGCGTCATGGGAAGTCCCCCGACAGTCTAGGCCTATAGCAGCATAACTAAGGGATGTCTGTGAAGGTTCTCAGTCATCCAGGTCATAGTTATCCAACAAAGTTTGAGGTCAAGGGCAACTGGACTTGGTTGAAGATACTAGAAGTTTTATCCCTCATCCATGAGACTTCTTCAGTTCTGACTGACTGGTAGGGAAACTCAGCTATTTAACCTCGGGGATCGTTAGCTAGGATCGCTAACCGCTGGTTCGTTAGTGTTCCTGGCTGTGGTAACGACAGTCATCATGGTCGTTAGAGCCACCCATGGCCAAGTCTGAACGACCATCTTTGGAATCTTCTCCCCACCCCCTCCTTTGTTCAACGACGGCTTCTCAACCCGGGTGTAGATGGCTTCTCTGACACTTCCTTCAAACCATCCATCTTCTCTGTCTAAAATGTGCAGCTGTTGATCCTCAAACGAGTGTCCTCTGTCCTTCAAATGTAAATAAACTGCAGAGTCTTGACCTGAGGAGTTGGCCCTTCTGTGTTGAGCCATGAGTTTTTGTTCTGATGACCCCTAGCTTGTGTACCAGTGGCTCGGTGCTGTTCCTCTGAAGGAGTTAAGGGCTTTACCCTCCACTTCTTCCATGTAGATGTTTACCACAATAGGTGACACTGGTGAACCCATGGCACAGCTATGCTTTTGTCTGTAGAATCCTCCGTTGTACTGGAAATAGGTAGTGTTTAGACAGAGGTTGAGTAATTTACAGGAAATAGCTGGTGAGGAACAGCCAGACTCAGCTAACAAGGTGCTGAAGACAGTTTGTCAGTCAGACACCACGGCAAGACTAAGACAAAAGGTAGTACCGCATCAGCAGGGTCTCTCCAGGAGATGTTTTGAGGTAGACAGGCCCAAACTGAGGACCTTAGACACAGAAACAGGGAGACCCTGGTCCACCATCAGGACACAGTGGGATCCTGGTCCACAATCAGGACACAGTGGGACCCTGTTACACCATCAGAACACAGTGGGACCCCGGTCCATGATCAGGACACAGTGGGACCCTATTACACCATCAGGACACAGTGGGACCATGGTCCACAATCAGGACACAGTGGGACCCTGGTCAATGATCAGGACGCAGTGGGACCCTGGTCCACTGTCAGGACACGGTGGGATCCTGGTCCACAATCAGGACACAGTGGGACCCTATTACACCATCAGGACACAGTGGGACCATGGTCCACAATCAGGACACAGTGGGACCCTGGTCAATGATCAGGACACAGTGGGACACTGTTACACGATCAGGACACAGTGGGACACTGTTACACCATCAGGACACAGTGGGACCCTGGTGCACTGTCAGGACACGGTGGGATCCTGGTCCACAATCAGGACACAGTAGGACCCTATTACACCATCAGGACACAGTGGAACCTTGGTCCACAATCAGGACACAGTGGGACCCTGGTCCACGATCAGGACACAGTGGGACCCTATTACACCATCAGAACACAGTGGGACCCCGGTCCATGATCAGGACACAGTGGGACCCTATTACACCATCAGGACACAGTGGGACCATGGTCCACAATCAGGACACAGTGGGACCCTGGTCAATGATCAGGACGCAGTGGGACCCTGGTCCACTGTCAGGACACGGTGGGATCCTGGTCCACAATCAGGACACAGTGGGACCCTATTACACCATCAGGACACAGTGGGACCATGGTCCACAATCAGGACACAGTGGGACCCTGGTCAATGATCAGGACACAGTGGGACACTGTTACACGATCAGGACACAGTGGGACACTGTTACACCATCAGGACACAGTGGGACCCTGGTGCACTGTCAGGACACGGTGGGATCCTGGTCCACAATCAGGACACAGTAGGACCCTATTACACCATCAGGACACAGTGGAACCTTGGTCCACAATCAGGACACAGTGGGACCCTGTTACACCGTCAGGACACAGTGGGACCCTGGTCCACTGTCAGGACACGGTGGGATCCTGGTCCACAATCAGGACACAGTAGGACCCTATTACACCATCAGGACACAGTGGGACCTTGGTCCACAATCAGGACACAGTGGGACCCTGTTACACCGTCAGGACCAAGGCTAAGAGACTCATCTCTGCAGGAAAGACAGGAACTGGGAGCAGAAAACGTCAGCAGGAGCTCTGGACTGAGGAGTACACGTGAAATATCTGCAGCAGGTTGTTCACCGAAGGGCTGGAGAGAGGAACAAGAATGAAGCATGGTGGAGAGTCCGGCAGGTTTGGAATATGATCAGAATGAATGGTCTTGAATGAATGAATGGACCGGTGCTCCGGTCGCTCTGTGACAGCGACAGAGAGACGTCGGCAGCAGCTGAAGGTCAGACAGAAAACTGGGAGAAGATCAGGGTTTGGGTTTGGCTCGCTGCCATTTAACATCAGCTGTATCTTTGCCTTTAGTTGTTCAACATGTTCACCTTTTCACAGAGCCGATGAGCTCGTCAGTGTCTCTTTTGACCGACCAATCACAGCCTGGATGGGCCGGGACATTAAAAAATTTTGACAAGCTTTAGTAAATCATTAAATGTTGAACAATATGATTATTTATCAGTTAGCACTGAGCGTTAACACATTAGAGACCGATGGAGAGGCTTTTTCTGAATGGAGGAATAAAAACAACCCACAGAAATGAAACAGCTGGATTTAATATTCAACTAGTGGGAAATAGTAGTAATACTATTAAATGAATATATTAAGGTTATACTAACAATATTGTTATTAACTGAACATTATACTCTTTATTTAATATTATAATATTATACTAATACATGTATACTAGTTGCTCCTCCAGGTTATGGGTAGAGTCTCTGCTGTGGACAGATGTAGATTTAGCCAGAGTCATGATGCCATTGGGCAAATATTTGCTCTTTATATATATATTTGCCCTTGTTCTGATTTACATCTGTTTTACTAGTTATTGTTTCTTGTTTAACTTTGTTTAAGTTGAGAAATAGACATTTCTAAATGTCTGTATTGTAGCAAACCTAAAATTTAGTTATGCAATTTAATAAATTTATGAGAATTGATACCCAATTATGAATTTTAATATTCATAAAATAAAATTTTATTCCTCGTTAAGGGCACCACCGGAGTTGTTATAATCCTAGAGTCTCTGGACCTCTAGGTAGTTTTAATAATTATACAATTATTACTAGTGATCAGTTAGTTAATAATCGCTCAATTATCTTAAATCAGTCAGTCAGTCTCATATCTAAAGGGTCAATTCTCTTGGCAGGGACGTAGAAATAGGCAACACACACAGTTCTTGATTATATTACAGTGAATTTATTCTCTAACTAATGTGATAAGAAGATGGTTGAATACCGGGAAAATAAACAACTGCTGAACAATGAGAAATGGAGGTTCGATTGTGGGAAGCATTTGACTCATACGGCATAGAAGAGCTAATGAAAGTAAACTAACGCTATGAGTTTAGGAGTTAAAAAGGACATCCCTGATCCCAGAATGTGTGTTAAGTCTCACTGCTTGTCGGCGGCCTGCTTGGCCTTTTGCTGGTCCCACGCTAGCTGCCCGATCCTGGCTTTTTGCTAGGGATTCTCCGGGGTTCTCCGTGTCTGATTGAAAACGCTGTCCTCCGTCTGGCAATTCGGCTGTTTTCAGGTTTCCTTCGTAGCCGGTGGCTTGGTCTGACCTCGGTCAAGTTGGCTCGACGAAAAAGGCTTAAAATGGAACTTGGTCGTTCCTGAATTAGTCCAGTGTAACTTAACGGACTGATAACTTTAACAAACAAAAGAAATAAAGAAATTAAAAACAAACTGAGGGCAGATCGATGTCGCGGCACTTCAGGTGTGTAGCTTCAAGCGAAACAAAAGGCCTGTTTCGCTGGCCGACTGAGGGCGTTGTCTGGCACAGCACGCCGAAGCGTGCCGAAGCGTCCAGAGAGCCAAGCAGCGGAGTAAGCAAAGAACGAAGAGAAGAGAGCGCCGCGATGTCGCATGTCGCTCTTTTGTTGCCTGGGGCGTGGTTCCCCAGGGGGCGTCTCAGGTTTCCCAAGGGACTGCCTTTCTAAACTTAATGTCTTTCAGCACTAATATCAACAACAGATAGCAACAACGTGTTAACATAACTACTCAAATAGAGGCAAACGTAATCAATTAACTAAAGATTTAATTAAACTTAATTAAATGCTTTGAGTCTTTGGAGACTGCAGTCCTTGGTCATCCAAAGTTCAGCTCTCTGGACCATGTCACACTTGGGTGAGACAGGGTTTTCCTTTTTGATGTGGTAATAAAACAAAGAATAAGGCCAGTTGCCACGGAAACACGTGTGGGGGGGTCAGTTTTGATAGGCTGTTCAGGGAAATGCTAATGGCTGGTTCGTGTCCCTTTGTCAGTTTAACAGTCAGGCCCCGCGTTATCAGCTTCGGAATCAAAAGGGTGCCAGCTTTATGGTCAGGGATAGCACTTAGAAGAAGCAACTTTGACCCCCTGCTCCTCTGTGGGAGAAAAAAAGGAATTTGGAGTAGTTCTTTTAAATTTTAAATACAAAAATGCACAAAGGCACACCGTTGTTCACTACAGTATTCTTGAAATCAAACAAAGTGACTCAGAGTACCGTTTGTTCCATTATCATCTAATTGGAATATTTTCCACAATAATCGGGATGTAACTTTTTCTCCAAATTGTATAGCCCTATTGAGAACTATCTTCAGTGTAAAGAAGAACAAGGATTCCCGGAAGTGACGGTGTGGCCCCCACGGAGCCCTAAACTCAACATCATCCAGTCTGTCTGAGATGAAGAGAGATAAGCAGTTGAGGCTGCCTGAATCCACAGAAAGACTGTGGGGAGTTCTCCGAGAGGTTTGGACCAACCAACCTGCTGAGCGCCTTCAAAAACTACATGCTTGCTGACCTCGTGCACAGAGTATCTATCCACACGTGTTTACAGACGGACAACAGATCCAATAACACAGCAGCGGCAGTTCCAAGCCACAGAGCTGCAATATGCAAACGGACATGAAATTTCTGAAGCGTATTCACGGATGGCTTTAGAGGAAACAAGCCAAACACTCTGAGCTTCAGTGTCTGCTCTGTACAGCCTGAAGCTAGCTCCATCTTGTCAAACCCAAGACCTGCAGGAAATACACTGACCGGTATTTAAACAACACGCTTTGTGCACACGGGCATTATGGGTAATGAGGAAGTTGACAAACTCGCCAAAAGCTGTTAAAGAAAACTTAAATTATTAAAATCCGAGGGAGAGAGGGTGCTGTATGGAAGAAAGCCAGAGTGGCAGCAGCTGTGGGATCAGTAGGTGAGAGGAGGACCGCTACATGCATGTAGTCTAGACCAGACTGGGAACAGGACTGTCCACCTTATAGGAATGTATCAAACATGCGACTGTAACTGTGATGGCAGAATCTTTACAAACCAAACAATCAATCGTGATAATCAGAAGATAAATGAGACTGCAGGAAATCCAAGTCAGAGAAGAAGAAAACAAAAGAGGGAACGAAAAGATCAGGGCTCACAGGACCACAGGAGCAGGTTTAAAGGTCGATGTGGACTCTGCAAGAAGTGTCTAGTCAGTTTAAAGTGCGCATGCAGCCTGTTGCAGTTGCTCCGTCGTTCGTTGTCTTATTTTCTAACTTTCTTTTTAAATCTCATGTGTGTGATTTTTGGTCTATACGTAATTTAAACTACACTCTCTCTAATCATGCATGTTGAGAGAGTTTTGGAAAGCCGGGATCAGCTGATCATGCTGAAGTTGACCAGCAGGGGGTCCAGGTCCACAGACATCCCCACTGAGATCTAGAGGAGGACACACAGAGGATGCAGAGGAGGAACGAAACGGCGAGGGAAGAGAGAGGGGTCCAGACAACAGAGATTTAACACTAGGACGGCCATGACGGTCATTTTGACCGTTTTGAAATTTATATCTGCAATAACTTTGTTGAAAAAATAAACAAAATCCTTCTGGTACCTGACTTTTCCTAAAAGTGTCTGTATTATCATTTAAAATGTTTTTCATATAAATGACACATAAGGCAAAAAAACAAATGAACATTTTCACCTATTTCGGTCATAGACGGTCATTTTGACCACACGGAATTTTGTGGTATTCTTTTGTTACATTTCCCGAAGTTGACCTTTGGCTCTCTCACTGTCAACAGAAAGGTCTGTATATATGCTAATTTCTACAAACAAAAAGTATATTAGACAAAATTGGTTGATCAGGCTAATAATAATAATGAATTACACTTATATAGCGCTTTATCATAGATACTCAAATCGCTTCACAGTGATGACTACCTTATCTATAGGCTATATATATAGTTAGGCTTCTAAAATGAATGAGCGAATAAAGAAGAACATGACTGGAACCATGGAGATGCTTTATGATTCTGTGGTGGCCAGTGCTGTCCTGTTTGCTGTTGCATGCTGGGGCAGCAGGCTGAGGGTAGCGGACGCCAACAGACTCAACAAACTGATCCGCAAGGCCAGTGACGTTGTGGGGGCGGAGCTGGACTCTCTGTCAGTGGTGTCAGAGAGGAGGATGCTGTCCAAGCTACATGTCATCTTGGACAATGTCTCCCACCCGCTCCATGACGTGCAATTCCTTTAATTATGCAAATATTGTACATATCTACACTCCTTTGTATTTTCTTTCACTTCTTTATATACCAAATTTCTGTCTTTATTTATTTTCCTTTTGCCTTTTGTGCAATGTGTGCAACTGTGACACAGAATTTTCCCTGATTCTGATTCAGCCTTCTTCAGAGAGCTGGTGGGAGAATCTGACACTGTAGGAATTAACTGACTCCAGAAGATGGCAGTAAAGCAACACCCAGGATGCAAGCTGCCATTAAACCTGAAAGAAGAAGAAGAAGAGGACAGGAAGCGGTGTGTGTGACTGTTGTGAGCTGACTCAGTAATGAGTCAAAGTCCAGAGTGCAGCTGTGCGGATCAACATGGAGGAACAGAAGAAGATTCTCTGTGTGGGTCTGGTGTGTCTCGACATCATCAACGTGGTCGACAAATACCCAGAAGAAGACACTGACAGCAGGTTAGCACACAAGCTAATGCTAAGACAGGCTAATGCTAACAGTGGCAGCAGGTCGAAGAGGTGATGTAGTGAACTAAAACAATGTCTGATTATCCTCCACTAAACGATCATTCAGCAGGCCACTGATCGTCTGAGAGCACTGACTGACTGCACAGCTGTTTACTGACTGTTTCCAACACAAGGTTTGTTGATGAAAAGAAAGTGTGTAGTCCTCCATGCTGCACACACAGAACTTAACAGGTGATTAAATATGTATTAAATCAATTTAAACAGTACATAATGTTATTTATATACAAATACACAGACTCGACCATTCTGCAGAGCATTTATTGAATCTGCATCTGGGAGAATGTGAACCGCAGCAACCAGACGATAATCTGGTTTCATCTTCACATTAAACAGTCTGATATTTGGGAAACCATCTGACTGAGTTTGAGCTCCAAGGTGCCTCGATGGAAAACAGAGTCTCCTCTCATCTTGCTGGAGTCTTTCAGACATTTCAGAACACGGTCCGCCCACCGAGGGCTTGATCCAGGATGTTGATGGACCAGGTCTCTATAAAGATCTGGGCTCAACAGTCTGTGGGTTCTGTTTCTTGGCCAACATGAGTCCCTCCAGAACGGACCTTTAGGAGCAGAATTAAGTCCAAGTTGGGCCAACATGGCACCTATCCCGGCTCTCTGAGCGATCACCTGCCGTGGGACCTGGGGCTTGGACCACGAAGCAGGATTTGAGCTTATCCAGATAACTTCGGGGGTTAACCCTGGGTTTTCAGCACCACAAAGGTGGTTCACTTCTTACTGGAGTAGATCTCCATGGTAACTTATGCTGAACGGCTAACCTGCTCCGTAGCAGGTTCTGCTCCAGATAAGAGATCAACTCTGTGAAAACGGCGCCTACTGACCAATCGGCTCTCTTGGAAAGTGACGTCACCATCTGCAGACTCTTTCATAGGCTGCTTTTATGTTACTGCGTGATACGTGGCGATGTCACTGCGTGATACGTGGCGATGTCATCCCACAGAGCCTGATTAAGCCTTAGGTCATTGTAGGCCTACATTCTTTTTACATTAAGCCTACTAACTGCTTTGCTCCCAGTCCGTCTCACACAGCCTGTCGCAGCCGTTAAAATAAACGGGTTTCATATAAATGTGAGGCTGAATATTATGAGCAGTTTGGTAGAGATATTAAAACAGTTTTAATATGAATGCAGGCTGTTTATTTTAGCTTAGCTATCTTAAAGTCTATCGCAGAGACTGGTCATGTTCCGCCCCACCTTGTAATGAGTTTTCAGCAGCCTAAATGTTCAGATTCAGTCTTCTAGTCTCTATTTGAGCACATTTTATGGCATGAATGGGTTTTTCGTTCCATTTCTTTGTGAAGTTAATTTGGAACAATGTTTGGAACACTTTGAGTGTGTTAAATAAATAAATCTCATTTTGTAAGTGACTACAAGTTTTTTAAAGTGAGGTGGAACGGCCCGAGTCTTTTAATGTGGAAATGTCGACACAGCCGAGCTGAAAGAATAAGGCTGATATTTTCATCCAGCTCATGAGAACACATCAAATCAACACATTAATAAGATGTTGGTTAGTAGAGTCCGTGTTAACCCGGTATTAACTTAATTGGAGTTGGTGCGCGTTCGCATAAAAGCGACGTGTTCGGCCATGCAGGCAGAGTTTTTTTGCAACGGCGCATGCTCCGTATTTCTCCAGAGGAATGCACATTGGTAGTGTCAGGAAATGATGAATGTAAAGACTTGTTAACGGCTAAATCTAATATCGTGGTGGACGACAAAGCCAGGACGGCTTGTTGGCATCGCATGGAGTAAATTTGTAGCCTAATTATCTTCACAGTGTTCTTATTGTAGTTCAAATCTCTATTATGTATTTTATGGGCTCTTTTATGTGTTAATGATTAAGATGTAAAGGTTCAACTGCACACAAAGTCCACTGTAATAGGAAAAAAAGGAGCCTGGGGAGAGGGTTAATAATCCGAGACAGAATTAATTTGCAAGATTAATCTACAAGTAAAAAACTTGAATATTCTCTGATGTTATAGTCACACATTTATGAGAGAAACTTCTCTTTGCAAGGCTGCAACATCACACACACACACGCCTGCCGTGTATTATGCATGCATTGGAAAGCTTTGATTAAACTTTGCAATCAGATTTAGCAGTGAGGAAATACTCCTGAGGTTAGCCCACCATCACTATCATACACCTTAGAGACTTTGCCGTGGATTGGGCCTATTCAGAAGAAAACAGAGAGATTTTCGATTGTTTATGAAATTAATTTCAGGGAATTTCCGATTTTTCTTCTTGTAAATTTCACACTTTCATCTAGGATTTTTTTTTTCTCGGTTATTAACCACGACCCTGGCTCCCTATTTTTTGGACACCTTAAAATCTAAATATGTGAAAACACTTAGGAGAATTCAATTATAGACTACAGATGGGCTACATCTAAGAAACTATCCCGTTAATTAATTAAGATTCCTCTCTAAAATCACTCGGCTGCAGGGCTCGCTCTGAGTACAGAAGTGGTGTGTAGTCCATGTGCAGGGTAACCTCGAGTTAACCACGAACAAAACCTGCTCACAGCAGTTTAGAGATGCAGTGTAAATTGCCATGGCAACAGACCTCGGGTAACACCTATCCACCTTTCGTAGTACAGTTTAACCGGGAAGTTACACCCGACGTCACGAAGTTACTCCTGAAGTTACGTGGATAAGCCAGTTACCTTGCTTCGTGGTACAGGCCACTTGTCTTCTGTGTTCTGTGTTTTGATTATAGTTTCACTCTGTTACATGGTTATGGTATCTGTTGTGACTTTTTGGTTTTGTATCAGTGTACTAGCAGTTCTCCTCCTCTAGCAGAGAATGGAGACCAGTAGTCTCCTCTGCTTGATATCTTTCTATGTGTTGCTGACTGTTTGCTGACTGTTGACTGTAGCTGTTTGCTGACTTTAACTATTTGACTGTGACTGTTTGCTGACTGTAACTGTTTGTTGACTGTAACTGTTTGTTGACTGTAACTGTTTGTTGACTGTAACTGTTTGCTGACTGTGACTGTTTGTTGACTGTGACTGTTTGTTGACTGTGACTGTTGACTGTAACTGTTTGCTGACTTTAACTATTTGACTGTAACTGTTTGTTGACTGTGACTGTTTGCTGACTGTGACTGTTTGTTGACTGTGACTGTTTGCTGACTGTGACTGTTTATTGACTGTAACTGTTTGCTGACTTTAACTATTTGACTGTAACTGTTTGCTGACTGTAACTGTTTGCTGACTGTGACTGTTTGTTGACTGTGACTGTTGACTGTAACTGTTTGCTGACTTTAACTATTTGACTGTAACTGTTTGCTGACTGTGACTGTTTGTTGACTGTGACTGTTGACTGTAACTGTTTGCTGACTTTAACTATTTGACTGTAACTGTTTGCTGACTGTAGCTGTTTGCTGACTTTAACTATTTGACTGTAACTGTTTGCTGACTGTAACTGTTTGTTGACTGTAACTGTTTGCTGACTGTGACTGTTTGCTGACTGTGACTGTTTATTGACTGTAACTGTTTGCTGACTTTAACTATTTGACTGTAACTGTTTGCTGACTGTAACTGTTTGCTGACTGTAACTGTTTGCTGACTGTGACTGTTTGTTGACTGTGACTGTTGACTGTAACTGTTTGCTGACTTTAACTATTTGACTGTGACTGTTTGCTGACTGTAGCTGTTTGCTGACTTTAACTATTTGACTGTAACTGTTTGCTGACTGTAACTGTTTGTTGACTGTAACTGTTTGCTGACTGTGACTGTTTGCTGACTGTAGCTGTTTGCTGACTTTAACTATTTGACTGTGACTGTTTGTTGACTGTGACTGTTTGCTGACTGTGACTGTTTGCTGACTGTAGCTGTTTGCTGACTTTAACTATTTGACTGTGACTGTTTGCTGACTGTGACTGTTTGCTGACTGTGACTGTTTGCAGACTGTAGCTGTTTGCTGACTTTAACTATTTGACTGTGACTGTTGACTGTGACTGTTTGTTGACTGTGACTGTTTGCTGACTGTAACTGTTTGCTGACTTTAACTATTTGACTGTTTGTTGACTGTGACTGTTTGTTGACTGTGACTGTTTGCTGACTGTGACTGTTTGCTGACTTTAACTATTTGACTGTGACTGTTGACTGTGACTGTTTGTTGACTGTGACTGTTTGCTGACTGTAACTGTTTGCTGACTTTAACTATTTGACTGTGACTGTTGACTGTGACTGTTTGTTGACTGTGACTGTTTGCTGACTGTAACTGTTTGCTGACTTTAACTATTTGACTGTGACTGTTGACTGTGACTGTTTGTTGACTGTGACTGTTTGCTGACTGTAACTGTTTGCTGACTTTAACTATTTGACTGTGACTGTTGACTGTGACTGTTTGTTGACTGTGACTGTTTGCTGACTGTGACTGTTTGCTGACTTTAACTATTTGACTGTGACTGTTGACTGTGACTGTTTGTTGACTGTGACTGTTTGCTGACTGTGACTGTTTGCTGACTGTGACTGTTTGTTGACTGTAGATGTTTACTGACTTTAACTGTTTTCTGAATGTAGCTGTTTGCTGACTGTTTGCTGACGGTTGACTGTAGCTGTTTGCTGACTTTAACTGTTGACTGTAGCTGTTTGCTGACTGTAGCTGTTGACTGTAGCTGTTTGCTGACTGTAGCTGCTGACTGTAGCTGTTTGCTGACTGTAGCTGTTTGTTGACTGTAGATGTTTACTGACTTTAACTGTTTGTTGACTGTTTACTGACTGTAACTGTTGGTTGACTGTAGATGTTTACTGACTGTAACTGTTGGTTGACTGTAGATGTTTACTGACTGTAACTGTTGGTTGACTGTAGATGTTTACTGACTGTAGCTGTTTGCTGACTGTAGCTGTTTGCTGACAGACTGTAGCTGTTTGTTGACTGTGGCTGTTTGCTGACAGACTGTAGCTGTTTGTTGAC